CTCAAAAAATGGAAAACACAACAACTGCCCCAGATGGTGTTCAGTGCTCTTAATAGTCTAATGGCATTTAAGATCTCTATGCAGAGATTGACTGAGTCTCTTCCAGGTATTTATCTACATTATTTGAACATTTTGATTTTATTTGCAAGGTCCATATTAAAACAAAACACACTAACTGTTTCTGAAGCAAAAGACACTGCTCATAAACCCTTGACTTCTGGGCGACGTCCTGAATTATATTGTAAAGGGCATAAGGGTTAGCATACACATTGGAACTTGAATATAATAAGCAGAAGCCTCTGTTCCTTCAGAATTGTTTTAAAATTGCTTTGCCTGTTTTAAATAGTGAATCAGTAAAGTCTTTCATGTACTTTTGACTAGTTAAAAGTTTTCCAATTCAGAGGGTTTTATTACTCTTTTGCAGAGACAATGTGACATCCAGCCTCTCTTCAAAGTATAAGCCACATCCTCCCCTACTAAGGTCCAACTAGACAGTTCAGGTAGGGGGAAGGAGACCCAATGGCAGGGGCAGTCCCCAATCCGATGTCAGGGAGCCCACATTTAGACCAAGCTGCACATTTGCTACAGATGTGTAGTGGTCTAGGTCCACCTCGATCATGCTCCCTGGTTTTTGGACCAGTCTCTGTGATCCCCTATGGTCCCAGATTAGTTGACTCTGTTGTTCTTGTGGTGTCCTTGATTACTCTGGCTTGTCCACTTCTATTCCTCCATTCTTCCATCCCCCCCATTCTTCCACTAGACACCCTGAGCTCCCCTGATGTTTGGCTGTGGGTCTCTATATCTGTTTCCATCCACTGCTAGATGAAGAAGCCTCTGAGGAGACAGTCATGCTTGCTTCTGCATGCATAGCCAAGTATCATTAATAGTGTCAGGAGTTGACTCTCTCCTATGATCTCAAGTTGGGCTAGTCATTGGTTGGCTGTCTCCTCAGATGTGTCTAGTCCTGCTGGGACTAGATTTCCCAGTGCATGGTGGGAACCCGAAAGGGGTTACCCTTTTCTAAGGAGAAGGGGAGGGGACAATGGTGGGGGAGGGATTTGTAAGGGTAGGACTTGGAGGAGAAGAGGGAAGGGAGACTCGATATTTAACCTGAATTTAAAAATGTTATAAAATCAGATAAATGTGAAGAATGGGGCAGAGTTAAGACTGTGATGTGTTTTAAAAGTAAAATGTGAAGTACTTACCAGAAACAAACAAACAAACAAAAAACAAAACAAAATACCATCAACAACAAAGTATGAGGGCTTTTGTTTGTTTGTTTGGTTTTTTGGTTTTTCGAGACAGGGTTTCTCTTGTAGCCCTGGCTGTCCTGGAACTCACTCTGTAGACCAGGCTGGCCTCGAACTCAGAAATCCACCTGCCTCTGCCTCCCAAGTGCTGGGATTAAAGGCGTGTGCCACCACCGCCTGGCAGTATGAGGGCTTTTATTTTGTTGTATTTGGGTTTTGTTCTGTTTTGTGTGCTGAAGGTCACTCAGCATGAATTTTTTTTGTTTGTTTTAGAAATATGGATGGGGTAAATAAGAAAAGATAGTTGGAAAGGCTAAGAACTGAGAAAAATTGTAGTAAGTTTATTTATCAGGACATTTTGCATTTGCATGTATTTGAGCAAAAGCTTAAGAGTAGAGGTATCAAGCATATATCAAGGGAAGTTTTAATCAACATCTTCGACTTGTAAGAAAAAAAATCTCAAATAACTTAACTAAATTACATTCAGATAAAATTTTCAGTAAGAATAGAAGGCAAGACCATTAAGGAATGCTATTTTAAAAACCATATGAAAGCCAAGAAGATTATTTCATATAATGAGTAATGCGAAGATATCAGCCTAATCAAGTAGGATATGCTGCAAGATGGTAGGTAAATTGATTCACTGTTTACATGAGAAGAGTCTTCACTATTTCAACAATTTTTGGTTTCAAATACATATAAAAATTGATATGATAAAATATATTGTAAATCAGAAAAAATTTGTCAGTAGAAAAAGTACATTTTAAAGTCACTAGACAAGGAATGACTTTTTCAACAAAGTTTTATTATTCAAATTGGCTCACTACTTAAAGAGAATAGTCTACCACAAGATCTCCATTGTAATCTTTATCCCAAAATTATTTCCAGAAGTTTCATGTCTTAAAATTAAAGTCTGTAATTGTAAAAGTACTAGTAGAAAACAGGGACAAAATATTTTGATAATTTCTCACTAGAGAAAATTCCTGTAAAATTTACAACACAGAAGCCTTAAACAAGGAAGGTTGGCAAATCAGCCACGTAAGCATCAAAAGCAAGTAAGCCCAAAATGAAGACTCATAAGCAAAGTCAAAGCACTTAGTAAATTGGGGGAAATATGTGCACCACACATGGCCAAAGACTTCTTGCCTTGATATAGAGCACAGCAGTTAGGTAGAAAAAAATTAGGTGACAGGTAAAAGCAAATTTTAATTTGGAATTATGCTTTATTGCCTTGATAGCAGTGTGGCTAGAAGGCTTGAGCTCTCAGCCAAAATAAACTGCTTTCTCAAGCAGCTTTGGCCAGGTGTTCTGTTCCAGCTAGAAGACGAATGATTAATACAGAGATGGAGGGGAGAGGGTGGTTTCTGAGATCCGCGCTTCTCCCTCTCCACTGCCCTTCTTTGCCTTCTTCATAGAGCAGGAACAAGTTTGGGGTTTTGTTTTGTTTGTCTCTCAAATAGGTTTTCCTTCTTGAGCATGTTAGCTTTCTGGAAGAAGATTATCCAGTCTCTAAACGATTAGAGATGTACCACTTTTCTCTAGTGTGAATCCTGAACCCTAGATCAGGGATTGGCAAGTGTGCTGCTGGCTAGTTTTATGTCAACTTAGTATAGATGGAGTCATCGGAGTAGAGGAAACCACAATTAAGAAAATGCCTCTAGAAGATTGGGCCATCCATCTTCTGCAAGGGATTTGTAGAGGAAGGCCCAGGTCTATGGGAGGGGCCACTCCTGGGCTGATGTTCCTGCCTTCTGTAAGAAGACTGAGCAAGCCATGAGGAGCAATCCCCCTCTGCATCAGTTCCTGCCTTCGTGTTTCTGCCCTGTTTAAGTTCCTGTCCTGGCTTCCTTCAGTAATGAACAGTGATGTGGCATAAGCCAAATAAATTCTTCACTCTTCAAGGTGGTTTGGTGATGGTCACAGCAATAGTAATCCTAAGTAGGGAACACTAAGCTTTCTGTAAAAGGCTGAGAGAATAAGGGTCATTGGCTTTACACGAGCTTCATTATGGTCCCTGCCACCTACCTGTCTTCTCTCCTCTCTCATCTTTCTTTTCTAACCTTTTTAAAGCAACCATTTGAAATGCTTAAAATTTTTTTCTTAGTATTTTTTGTTGTTTTTGTTGTTGTTATTGTTGTTTGAAAGTTCCTTCCACTACAAGTTCTCTCTACTCCCTGGAAACTTGAGTTTTATAACTTTCATAGGTGTGTAGCTAGTTTTTCTATTGCTGTGATAAAAACATTGTGACCACAGCTAGTTAGGGAGGAAAATCCTGTTTGTTTGTTTGTTTGTTTTTTAAAGACACTAAATATTTTATTTATGTGAATATACTGTTGCTCTCTTCAGATACACCAGAAGAGGGCATCGGATCCCATTACAGATGGTTGTGAGCCACCACATGGTTGCTGGGAATTGAACTTAAGACCTCTGGAAAAGCAGATAATGAGTGCTCTTAACTGCTGAGCCATCTCTCCAGCCCCAAGGAAAGGTTTTTTTGTCAGCTTACAGTTCCACATCTCAGCCCATCATTGAAGGAACCTGGAAGCTGTAGCTAGTGCAGAGGTCATGGAGGAGTGTTGCTTCCTTGCCCAGCCTGCCTTCTGTCTTATAGTACACATGACCACTGTTCAGGCGTGGTACCACCCACAGTGAGCTCCCCTACCCCACCCCGTCAGTCATCATCAATCAAGAAAATACCCTACAGACCTGCCTACAAGCTACTCCTGTAGATGCTATTTTAAAAAATTAATTTTCCTTCTTCCTAGATAACCCTAACTCGTGTTAATGTGGCATAAACACTAGCCAGCACACTAGGTCTGCAAGGGAAATAGCTGCTTGTCTTCCTTTCCTTCCTCAAATATCTGCCTTTTTTTTTTTTTTTCCTTTCTTAAACTTCTTGGGTCACCTTCATCCCCCTCACATCCCCTTCCTTTTCCATCTAACATTCTGTGGGATTTCAGGAGGTTGTGGAGATAAATACATGTATTTAATCTACTAAATTTAACCAGAAGTTTCCCCAAATCCAATTTGGTTGGTTTTATTTTTACTACTTTCTTTGATAGTTGTTGGTTTAATTTTGCATTTGTTCTCCACGTGCTCAGTCGCTATGCCAGATGTTCAAGAAGATGTCCTTGGGGAAGAAAAATGAGGGGCTTTAAAATGTAATGCTCTTGAAATGTTCACAATGGCTCAGTGTGCGAGATCTCAAGGAGGCTGGGCTATTTCTAACCATCAGACTCACAGAATAGAAGTTCAGCTTCACCCTTATTTGTGTAACCATCATGAGCATTTTTAAATGTTTGTAATAAACTTTGTGGCTTATTGTTTAAAATTGAATTTAAGGTAGTAAATCAAAGCCTTTGGTGGTATGCCTCTGGCAGCAGGGAGAGGCTTGTGCCGGGTCCCTGAGACTTGATCAAAGAGGGATGCTGAACATTCTTTTGTGTGTAGATGTTTTGGTCCTTTAATCTGGTGGTGTTTCCAGTCTCATTCCAAATACAGTGCTGCACATGCTCTCCCCAACTCATGTCATCTTGGCAGTATCTAGCACTGCCTTTGCCAAATGGCTCCTGTTCAGGCGCAAGACCGCCTTTGCCATCCTGTGTATATGAGGTATGAACAATGGTTGTCAGAAGTTGGGCATCTTTCAAGTTTTTATTCGTGCCACATTTTTGTTCTAGTAATCAAATGGAAATTGAAAGTGAAAAAAGAAAACTCACTGAAAGGTGACTCCCAGTCTTTTGTGCCCAGGTTCACCTTTCCTTGCCAGTGAAGATGGCGTGCTCGGTGGAGTGATTGTTCTCCGGTCATGCAGATGTCCTTCAGAGTCTGACTCCTCCCAAGATAAACAGACACTGCTGGGTAAGTGAGTGTCTACTGGAAAGAGCTATGAAAAGGCTGATTCTTTAAATCAGCTGTTTATACTGGTGATGTCTAACTGGCACTATCCCAGTTCCCACTGTTGATTTTCTATAGATAAATTTATAAAATGTCACTGTTTATTTTTAAGATTGTGCTTAAAGCATATTTTAAAAATTAACTACTTAATTAATTTTATATACCATCTACAGTTTTTCCTCCCTCCTCTCCTCTCAGTTTTTCCCCATCCCCACCCTTTATACTCTTTCTCCTCAGAAAAGGAGAGGCCTCCCCTGGATATCAACCAGCTCTGGTATATCAAGTTGCAGTAAGACTAGGCACATCCTCTCCTATTAAGGCTACACAAGGCAACCCAGTAGGAGGAAGGTGTCCCAAAGGCAGGCAACAGAGTCAGAGACAGCCCCTGTTCCCACTTTTAGGAGTTCCACGTGAAGACCAAGCCATATACCTGTATCATGGGCCTGGATCAGTCCCATGCAGGCTCCCTGATTAGCAGTTCAGTCTCTGTGAACCCCCATGGACCCAGGCTAATTGATTCACTGGGTTTTCTTGTGGTATCTTTGACCCCCTCTAGTTCCTACAATCTTTCCTCTTCTTCCTCTTTTGTAGGGTTTCTCAAGCTCCACTTGTTTGGCTGTAGGTCTTTGCATCTATTTCCTCCATTAGTGACTGGGTGAAGCCTCTCTGATGACGATTATCCTAGGCTCCTGTCTACTAGTATAACAAAATGCCATTAGCAGTGTCAGGACTGGGCTCTCTCTCATGGTATGGGTCTCAAGCTGGGCCAGTAATTGGTTGGCCACACCCTTGATTTCTGCTCCATCTTTACCCCAGCACATCTTGTAGGCAGGAAGAATTGTAGGTCGAAGGTTTTGTGGCTGGGTTGGTGTCCCATTCCTTCCACTGAAAGTCTTGTCTGGTTACAGGTGATGGCTGTCTCAGGCTCCAAATCCTCCATTGCTAGGAGTCTTAGCTAGGGTTACCCTCTTACATTCCTAGGAGTTTCTATTGCCCTAGGTTTCTAGCTGCTCCCAGAGATAGTATCCTCCCCCATTTCAGTTCTCTCTCTCTCTCTCTCTCTCTCTCTCTCTCTCTCTCTCTCTCTATCTCTATCTCTATCTCTATCTCTATCTCTATCTCTATCTCTAT